AAAAGAGAGCTCCCTCGGAGTTCAGGTTGCCTCCGCCTCCCAGCTGTCTTTGATCCTTTGGGAACAAAGCAAAACGCTGCTACCACCTCTGTGCTTAAAGAAACTTGGTGAGTTATTTTTACAAGCGGACAGAGCTGGATAAAGGATTGAATTTATTGGATTTTATTTGAACTTTAGTTCAGGCTGACCTTTTTTTCTTTTTTTTGTCTTTTGTCTGTGTGGAGAGTGAAAGTAAAATGGCGATTTGAAAGTTTTTCTTTTGGGGAAAAAGTGAGTGAAACGGAACGTTATGGATTATACAGTTTTCTTTTAAATTTTTTTTGAAGGTGGATTTGTGTTTTGGAAAGTTCTTTTAAACTCTCCTTTGTTCTTTTTTTTATTTTTTGAGGATTTTCTTACTGTTTTTTTTAAGAAGGAAGAAAGAAGAAACAATATCTTTTTCTTTTTAAAATGGCTTCAAAGAGGCAAGCAGCTTCTACAGTTCCTAAGGTGGCTTCTTCTCCTGCGATTTTACCGATACAACAACCTAAAGCTACACCACCATCTTCTCCTCTGCCAGCAATAACGGTACAAGATATGAAAGATATAATGGGAAATATATCTCAAATCAGAGGGGAAGTGAAGGAGCTTTTAGAGCAGAATAAAACTCAAATCAGAGGGGAAATGAAGGAGCTTTTAGAGCAGAATAACACTATTCTGAGGCAAGATATAGTTATGGCTTTAACAGGACTTGCTTCTGTGGTTGAGAAGTTAGATTCTAGAGTGGAAGAGGTGGCAGACAAGGTTGACATTCTGGAAGACAAGTTTGAAGGTATAGAAAAAAAGATGGAAATTTCACAAGATGACATTGTTATGTCTCAGTACAGAGAGATGGAACATGCTTTAAGAATCAGAGGCCTGAAAGAGGACATGCAGCAAGATCTGACAGAGATTGTGGTAAATGACTTTGCTGTTATTTTGAATAGAGAGAAAGAGGAGATACTCAGAGAAGTTGAAAAAATTTATAGAGTTAACTCCTGGGTCGCAAAGCAAAAGAATTTACCAAGAGATGTGGTGATTTATTTTGCAAAGAGATCTCTGCGCAATGAAATTATACAAGCTTTCTATAATAAGAGGTTTCAGATTGCTGCTCAAGACGTTATTATTTTAAAGGAGATCCCATCTAAAATTCTAAGAAAGAGAAAAGACTTTGCTTTTTTAGCTAACGAGCTAAAAAAAAGATTGATGCCATTCAGATGGGAGATTCCGATGGGTATTGTTGTGAGCCATGCGGGGACGCGTTATAGACTTAATACAGTTACTAAAGCAAAGGAGTTTTACAGTTCGGTCCTGCATCTATGATGCAGAAAGTTCTGGATGGTAAAGAGGCGGAACAGCAGTCTGAAGGATTAGGTGTGATGGTTGCTGGAAAGTTACAGGCGGAATGGTCGCAACAAGCAGAGATCAAAGAGCAAAGAATGACTCGTGCAGCACACAGACGCAAGGAAAAAGAACAACAGAAGAAAGAAGTTAAAGAATCTTTTCAAGAAATTGTTTCGTTGCCGGTGGGAGGAGCAAGACCCAAGAGCTCTACAGCACATTCTTCAATGGCAGATCTTCAAGCAGTCTTCTCCAGGCTTCTGGTTAAGGGAGATGGTAAAGCTCCTGACATGGAATGCTAATGGCCTTAATTCCCCCCAAAAGAGAAATAAAATCTTTCATTATTTAAAGCAACATAATAATGATATTATTTGTTTGCAGGAAAATGTGATAGAAGGGATAAGGAGAGGAGTTAAGATGGATAGTGTTTCTTACGCACAATTACTTAGATGGGATGGTAAAAATTGGCAGTTAAAATCTTTGGAAGATTTAGCACAAGAAAATATTATATACTCATGGTTTCAGTATAGACAAATAGTGGATAGATGGAAGATAGATCATAACGTGGGTTTGCTTAGAGAAGATAAAAACTTTTTCAAACAAGTAAAAGATCAAAGACGAACTCACATTAAGAGAATTTATGGGGTGTTAGTAGAATTGGATTCAGAAGTGGAATTAGTTAAAGAATGTATGATTAAATGGGCACAAAACTTTGGTAACTATTTGGGTGAGGAATGTCAAATTTACACAAGCCCAGAACTTAAGGGAGAACTTTTATAAAATGTTTTACAGATGGCACCTTGATCCACAAAAAATGTCTCATTTGTATCCTGACTTACAGCCTAAATGTTGGAGATGTGGATGTTTGGATGCTACTTACTATCATATCTGGTGGTCGTGTAAAAATATAAAAGCCTTTTGGATTAAGATATGGTGGAATATTCAAAGAATTTTTAGAAGGAGGGTAAAATTTATCCCACAATTGTTTTTGTTAGGTATTGTTACTGATTGTGATACCAAAGAGATTACATTGATGTTAAATTTAATTACAGCTGCAAGGTTGTTAGTAGGGCAATGTTGGAAGAAGGAATCTTTGCCTACTTTGCAAGAGTGGTTTCTTAAAGTTTCTTATTTGGTGGAAATGGAAAAAATGGATAGATTTTATACAACATAAGTTGGATATAAAAAATATTATTTAGTTTTTTAATGACTTATATTTAAAATTTAATATTTTTATCTTTCTTCTTTTTTCCTTTTCTTTATTCTTTTTTTTCTAAACATTTATTTTTTGTATTTATGTTTTTCATATACACACTATTGTTAATTATCTTATAATTTTCTTAAGTAATGTATTTAGATTTATTTATGGTTTATATTTTTTTTAAGATTTTTTGAAGAAACTTTAATTAAGCCTATATTCAGCTCTCGGAAGGTCGGGGGAGGGAATGGGAGGGTTGGGGAGGTTTGGGGAAAAATTGTTTTGTTTTTGTAAAATTTTAAAAATTTTCAATAAAAAAAAAAGAGAGAAGCTAGTATCTTTTCCTTAGGAAGTTAAATAGCAATCCTTGGAAGTAACTTTCAGTGAACATGAGAGTTTAAACATATACATATCCATAGCTACTACACTATTCCCTTCCAGGGTAAGCAGTTTTATGTAGTAGAAAAGGAAATAAAAAAATAGGAAGACTTACTTTAATACAATTCACTATATGTCTTCTGAGCTCTCTTTTCCAGGATCTCATCAACTTCATTATATCACAACTTTCCTGATCTTCCATCCCTCTGAATTCTTTCACTCTTCTTACGTGTATTTGTTTTGCAACTCTATCACACCTTAATGTTTATCATGTCTCCTCTTTAGGAAACATTTCTCCAAGATATGTGAAAAATGTATTATTTACCACAAGCAGAACCTATAAACATTATGGTAAATATCATTCATTCATTCATTCATTCATTCATTCATTCATTCATTCAATCATTCATTCATTCAATTTCTGTAGCTAATATGTATATATATCCATACTCCCAACCAACACATTTCTAATATTACAAGCATCCCTTACATATTAGTCCACAAATGCGTTAAAAAACCAATGTATCTAAATGTTAAATGCATTGAACAACCAAGAAATTGTTTATCTTACTCCTTGATCAATAGTGAAATATTCACTAAGCATTCCATTTATTTTTACACATTGCTTTTTTATATAAATTTCTGTGATTGCATTTTGCAACCTGTCTTCAACTCCATATTCATACAAAAAGTTTCATAATTCAAGCCTATTCACTTTATAACATATTTTCTTTAAATCTATAAAATATGCAATAAACCTTCTTTCACATTCATGTATTTCTCATATTAACAGCATTCGTCCAGTTGCTAGGAATCAGACAAGTTACACAGCTACTCCATAAACAAACCATATCCATATTTTAGCATTTATAATAATAATAATAGAATTGGAAGGGACTTTGGAGGTCTTCTAGTCCAACCCCCTGCTCAGGCAGGAAACCCTATACCCAGTGGTGGGATTCAAATATGTGAACAACCGGTTCTCTGTGTGGTTGCCACTTCTGGAAGTCCATTCTGGGTCTGGGCAACAAAAAATTAACTACCAGTTCTGCTGAACCGATGCGAACTGGCTGAATCCCACCACTGCCTATACCATTTCAGACAAATGTTTGTTCAGTCTCTTCTTAAAAACTTCCAGTGTTGGAGTATTCACAACTTCTGGAGGCAGGTTGTTCACTGATTAATTGTTCTGTCAGGAAATTTCTCCTTAGTTCTAGGTTGCTTCTCTCTTTGATTCTCCAGTTGTACTATATACATTTTTATTTTTACCTTTTTTATCCTAGAAAACTGATGTGCCAAGAAGTATGGACATGCTATTTTATTTTTACTGGCTGATTTTAGTAGAAAATCCGACAAAATAAGCTGTGCACATCTCACAATGCAATATTTTGTTGTGGAAAACTATTCTCATGAAAATCTGATTCAACTCTGATTTGATTTTCTTTTCCTCAGCAGAGAATAATCCATAAAATATATGAAGAACTTAAAAGTATAACTAACTGCAATCAAAATCAAAATGCAACTGTATTTTATCATATATACAATTACACCAATGATGTTTTATAATGTTTTATTTGTATATAGATGCATTTCCTTAATGTATTATGATTCATTCAGTGCCCATTGTTCACTGATAATTTCTTCTTAACAAAGTTAAGATTTTTGAAAAAAATATGAATAGTGTACAACTGCTAATGGATCAATTCTGTACCTGAAGAAAAATGAAATCATTTCATGTATGATGTAAAGGATACCAATGGTTCAAAGGTCTTTTATATTGTTTTGTTTTTTATAGTGTTATATTATTCTCCATAATTATTTTGTGTTGGAGCAATATGTGCGAATTACATTTCCTAAATACTGAAAATACTTACAAAATAAACATCATTTGATTATCTTCTGAATACTGTTCAAACTCTCCAACTTGTTCAAAGACTAATTGAATATTTCAAAATATAAGTTGCTTTGCTGTTCTAGAGTAATACTAAATATACATTTTTTTCTCTAACAATTTTTTTATACTATAAAGCATTTAAAGTTCATGAACATTTTGGTTAAAACTTACCAGATCGTCCATCTCTTTGAAAGTCAACATGGTACCACTCTCCATCATTCACTTTTTTCTGCAAAGCTTTTATTTTAATTGTTCCAGAGCCCATGTCTAAAAGCAGGTAGAGGTGCCCATCAAGCATTTCAATGGCAAAGAAGTCAACTTTAACCATTTGTGGATGTTTGGCATCTTTCTGATGTCGTGGTTTGCCATGGCTGAAGAGAATCAGCCCATTGGGTTCAGTGGTGCGAAAGTCAAAGGATATTGAGCCTGTTTTTTTGGCATTCCATTTAGGCAAAGAAATAAAGGATTCTGGTGTTTCAAAAGTGATTGGATCCAAGGTTGCCACATTTTCACACTTAAATGCCACAACACCATGAATCTTCATCTTAGGATCTCCTTGTTTGGCCAGTCGAGACAATTCCAGTCTTACATCATTGTTTTTATAAACAACCTAGAAGCAAAGCACAGTAATTACCAAAATGGATTAAATTGTATAAATAAGTCTGAATATTAATTACATCCTTACATTTTATAAAGTTTCATGTTATCAGGTTAAATAACACATTTTATAAATTTCACATAAATTACAGCATGTCCCTCTTTCTCTCTGAAGCCAAGTCTTGAACCTGAATTTCATCTATGCCTGGAACTCATTCTGCAGTTTAAACTCTGAAAATTTAATTACAACAAAATTTCCATTTTGTCATTTCTTCAGCTAAAAACAAAGTATCACCATAATGATATTTTGGTCCATCCAATTTTCTTTATTAGGTATTGAACTAAACAATAGCTAAATGCATCTGTGAGGTTGTGGCTTCAGTTCTTTATCCCATCTTTCTACAAAAGATTACAACTTCTTATTTAATACGCAATAGTGTGCTGATATAATAGTAGTAGATTGAATAGTTCCATGGGCACAGTATAACATCGATACATATACATGGCAATTCCTCCTTAAATACAAGAATTAAGATATAAATACACTCTAGGAAAAAATAGCACAATGATAAAAATAATATCAATTAATGGTTGAATAATTTAAAGATATCCTCTTAATTTCTATATTTAAACTCTCCAGTTTGAATCTGGACTGATTTATTCTAGCCTGGCACCACTCATCTGTAAAATCTTGCTTAGCACCCCAAAATGTTATTTTAGCCAAAATTCAAAACATTCAAAATATTACAGTTTTTCCCCCAGTCCACAGCTAAAAGAATACTGTTCATGAGAATTTCCAAAGTACAACAGTTCATTCTAAACTTAAATATATATTTTATGGTTAATATGCACCCCTATAAACAACAATTGATATTAGTAGCTATTGGGGGGGGGAGGCTACCACATTTCCTGAATTTCGCTATGTTTAGTTTCAATGGATGACTTTCAGTTCTAACACATTGAGAACTTCTTTTGATCCACCTAACAAATACTGCTCATTGTTTTAAATACCTTTATCATGGTATTTCTCTCCTTCATTCCAGCCTACAAAGCCCTTGATTCCCGTAGTCTTTCCTTTTAGGAGAATTGTCTTGCTTAGTTATTCTGAACATAAATCTCATTACTATAAAGGTGAAGGTTGTGTTTTTCATGGTAAAATGCTTCATTTTACACTTTACATTTGTTGAAATTGCAGCACTGAGGAAGTATGGGAAATCTGATAGTTGACATTCAGGCATATTTCCAAACAACTGAGCTGGAGAAGTATGCTTCATAGTAAATATTTCAAGCTGGACTGATACATTTTATAATATGGAAGTCATAGTGTGTCTACATCTCTGGATGAGGTAATATTCTTTTTAAAGGGACAAAAATATGCATTTTTGAGTATTGGATCATAGTGGAGGTAATTTCCTTCATAATCACCAAGGAAACTAAAAATATTAGATGAAATATGCATGGATACAGTAAAATTCACTGGCTGTGGTTGGCAAAATAATAAGATAAAGCTGATAATGCTATATATTCTCCCTTATTTGTTCAACCTATATGCTGAATATATATTAAGAAAGAGAGTATGGTTTTAAAATTAAATGACAAAACACCAAATATCTGTGCTGTGCTGGTGACAATATCCTGATAGTTGAAAATGCAAAAGAGCTTAAAACTCTATTAATAAAAGTCAAGGACCATTGTGAAAAAATGGGACTAAAATTAAATATAAAGAAGACCAACTAACAACAACCAGTACAACAACAACCAGCCATAGAATTGGCAAAGAAGATGTTGAAATGATGGGTGAAATGATACTGAATAGCTTCTGCCTTTTAGATCAAACATCATCAGTAAAAAAAAACCAAACAAACAATAACAACAAAAAAACAACAACAAGCAGTCAAGAAATATCCCACAGACTAGTACTTGGTAGAGCAGCCATAAAGTTCTTGGAAAAGATATTCCAAGCTGTAAAATCGTATACATACATACATACATACATACATACATACATATCTATAAAGATCAGAATATTGCAAGAAATTGTGACACTCTGTGGAAGGAAAAGTTGGATTTTTGAAAAGCTTGGATAAGAAGAAAATGTATGGTTTTCACCATTGGTGTTGGGAGAGAATATAGTGGATAGACAAGAAAAAAAAAAGCATCATTGAACAAGTCTACCCAGAGTTCTCACTGAAAGCATAAATGATCTGGCTCAAATTGTCCTACTTCGGGCACATTATGTGAAAACCTAACTCCATAGAGAAGGTGCTAATGATGGGAAAGGTGAAAAGAAAGACAAGAAGATGATAACCAGTTACAACATAGATGGATTCAGTCACATGGCAATGGGAGTAACACTGGAAGTCCTAAAAGTACAGTTTAGGGGCAGAGCATCACAAAGAAAATCTACAGTATGTGATAACTAAAAGTTGACACCACCTTGTTAGCACATAATCAGCATATTCAAGGTATTTTTATACTATAAAGTAGAACTTTAGGTATGCTCTCCAGAGACTCTACAAACGTTGTGACTCAATTGTAGTTTCAATATGCCCAAAAGAGAAAATAAATAAATGTTGGTAGATAAATCATATTCCCTAAAAAAGTTCCAGGAACATGAATGGCTTGTTTGAACTTAGGAAGTCTGGGGTAAGTTGAAGGAAGAATTTCCATCCATGTGAAAACAGATCATCCATATGCAGTAATCTAAAAGAAACTATCAGCTTTGCTGCAATTTGAAATACACTGGAGCAGAGTCAAAAATAAATAAAGTGAATTTGACGAAAGCCTTATCTGACAAAATAGTACTTTAGCTGATCAATTAAATAACATAACAGTTGCTGCTCTTTCACCCATCTAGTTTCATACCCATGGCAAGTCTAGACCTCATGGTCTCCCAGTTTCTAGCCTGATACCTTAACCACTACACTGAACTGGTTCTTGTGCATTTATTAATGTACCTTAAAATACATTTACTTATGTGAATAACTTATAAAACAAAAGGAAGCAGAATATCTAACATATCTCCACTCTTCTGAATTTAGTCACAGATGTTGGAATGTGAACCTTTTATGGGATGTAAGTCTGAGTGACATCTTTCAAATGGATTAGATTGAAACTCCTGGTTTTTCTAGTCAGGGTAGACTAAAGTTAAGAAAGCAGGGCTATCTCTATTGTGAAAATAGAAATTGGAAACAAATTGCATTAAAGAGGCTTTTATATTATGCATTCCATATTCAAAGATTTTGAAAATTTCCATTTATTTTGGTAATAAAGTAATGTTATTACTTTGCTTATTATTTTATATTAATATAAAGTTTTAATAATTATATAATTTACTTCCTCTTAAAATACCTTAATAGTACTTAAACCACATATGTAGTTTCTTCCTTCCAGAAAGATATGTTTACTTCAGAATATTTAATTGAACTTACTTTCACATAATTATAGATAAGACTTCACATATGGATATTGTAGTAAAATCCTGATTTGCTAAACTAAAATTCATTACATTGAAGGTTTACTGCAGCTGGCTTACTTTTCTTCTTATATCAGAGCATTTGCAAATAACATTGGTGAAAAGACATATCACTACTTTTTGTTTATTCATCAAAAGACAATTTCTGTGAATGATACTTTACCCATGAACAGTTTTTAAGATATTCAGGGCATTATCATCAAACACAATAATTTGGTGATCCATAAATATGCTTTGAGAAATTGTGTTTGCTTCTCCCCCTCTCCCAGTTTGTGCATGGCAACTTCTAGTAGAAAACTGATATAAATGAATTTTTTGGGAATATATAAAAAATTTAATCTTCAAATGATTTGTCTGGCTTTGGCTCTTCATTTTCTTAGGCAGAGATATTTTTTTCCCATTAGTTGAACCTTGATCCTTTTACCTAAGGATTTTGGATAACAGAATCCTAAATGAAGATCAAGTGCTTTATTTTGTTGTGGCAGGTTATGGTTAAAGTTTACATGAAATCTCTATATACTACAGAGCTATGCCTGAGCTATGATGGTCAAGGAAATGCAAAAAAAAAAAAAAAAAAGACTCAGATTTATGTTCTGCAAGATCAATATATTAGATAAGAACTCATGTCCAAGTAAATCTTTTTCACTTTCTGAAATGTTTTTATTCCACATACTAAATGGTATATTCAGCTCCTATCACTGAAAATCAACAATGTTGTTTAATGTGATTGGCTTTCTGATCAATATGAAAGAATCCATCTATTATTTATAAAGAGGAAGTGCCTGAATAATAAAAAAATAACAGATTGTGGACCAATTTGAATGACCATTTACTGTGCAGTAATTCCTGCATAAATCACCACTTGCCAAAAGCTCATTATATGATCCAAAATCATTTACGTAAAAGAACCATGTTTTCTAGATTCCACCATAAATTATTTTTCAGAAATTTACTGATGTGTGCAAAACTGTCAGTCTTGAATGTAATAGTAGCTCTGAATGGAATTATAATCAAGGAACTATATATGCAGCACTCTGGCAAGAAGATTTAAATATATATTTGCAGCATTTCTAGGATGATGTGCCCTCTCTGGACTATGGCAGTGAATTATAAAACAGTAACAATGCAATTAAAACAATACAATGGATTTTAAAGATTCCTATAAAAATAATAAAAAGATCATCATTTGGCTTCAACTAAAGCCAAAAACATGATGCAATAAAATTATTTTCCCTTGCATACAGCCTTTTGGAGGAGTAGCAAGCTATCCTTTGTATACTACTCCAGAGCCATATAAATTAAATGAATCAATCCCTCCTTAAAAAAAACTCTGTGCACCTAAGTTTGAATTACTTTATTATCCCATTCCATCTCTCTCCTCATTCCTTTTGCAATATATTCCAAATTTGAATAATTTTTTTAAAAAGTAAACGGTTAAATAAAATGTTGTATATGTTTGTCCTCTTTCTGACTATTGTCGCAATAAGCAACATCCTTAATCAAGGCAAGTTAGTGCACCACCACAAGACAAAGATAAA